AATTAGTTCTGAGTCTCTTAAACAGCCTCCATTCTCATCTTCACAAAGTCGAGCTCTTTTTAAGCTAATCTCCATGACACTTCTTAACATCTGAGGTTGTAAGGAAAGAACTTCTTGTTGTATGTTTGCCTTAAGATCTTGAACAGTTCAAGGCTTATTTGCATACAATTTGTCTTTAAGATATCCCTAAAGCCAAAAGTCTGGTGCTGTCAAATCAGAAGAACGTGGGGGCCATTCAAAATCGGATTTAAGAGAGATTATCCAATCCTGAAACATTGCAATTAACAATTATATTATAGCACTAGCGGTATGTGCAGTTGCTCTATCTTGTTGCCACCAATACCCTGCCATGTTTGCTAACTGAGGTTAAATAAAAGTGGCTAGTATGTCTCAATATTTCTCAGCAGTTACAGTCACAGCATTTTCATTTACATCTTCAAAGAAGAAGGGCCCAATAACCCTTTCTGATGTTACTCCACACCATGTTGTGACTTTAACCGGGTGTAATAGACTCGCATAAACTTGGTCTGGATTTTCGGTGCCCCAGAATTTGATATTCTGCTTATTCACAATTCCATTCAAATGGAAATGAGCTTTATCTCCCATGATTAACTTGTGAATAAATTCATTGTCATTTCTTGCAGTTCTTTGAAACCTGACAGCATAATTTAGTCATTTCTGAAAGTCTGGTGGTTGTAAAAATTGCACTAATCAAATCTTGTAAGGGTGCATGTGCAAGTCTCTTTGAATGCACTGCAGAGAACTCCATGAGATGCCAAATTATTGAGAGTGCCTTCGAGTGGATGTGGTTAGGTTCTCTTCAATGCTACGGCTCGCAGCTTCAGTATTTTCACATGTACGTGCTGAACAACCTCGTCCACTTCTAGTCCTATCACTTACAGAGCCATGTTCTTGAAAACGCGTCACTAAGTTCATTATTGCAGGCCTACTAGGGGGATGTCGAACATTAAAATGGCGCATATACAATCTTTGCGTTGCAACAATTGACCGTCCATTTTCAAAGTAAAATTCAATTATCTTCACTCGTAGTTCAAATGTAAACTTATCCATTCTAAAAATTTCCAAAGATTATATTTTTTAATTCTGAAAAGAGAAATAGAAATATATTAATAAAAAAAAGTTATTTAACTTTTAAAATGTAAAGTGACTTATGGGCCACCCTATATATATATATATATATATATATATATATATATATATATATATATATATATATATATATATATATATATATATATATATATATATATATATATATATATATATATATATGTATATATATATAAATATATATATATATATATACATATACATATATATGTATATATATAAATATATATATATATATATTTATATATTTTATTATATTTTATAACAGGACTTTATATATATATTATATATATATATATATATATATATATATATATATATATATATATATATATATATATATATATATATATATATATATATATATAAAGTCTTGTTATAAAATATAATAAAAATGATTATCAATTGAAGTAATAATGGTTATTAGAAGTGTATTTAAAAACAAATTTTTAACTTATTTTTAAATTCAGACAACAAATTGATTTTCCTAATTTCTAATGGTAAATCGTTATAGAGTAATAGAAAAAACTTTAAGCAAATTCAAGTCGGATTTTTGGAGTTTTAATTAGGTTGCTGTTATTTCTTGTTGTTATTGAATGGTTGACACTTTTAAAGTAGTTGGCAAAGTTTGAGCATAGTAAACCAAGAATCAATTGCTTTGTTATTAGACAAGATGCAATGAGTATTTGTGAGAATGGTGATTTTATGTTCACTTTGTGCTTGCTGTTTGTATTTATTATACGAGATGCACATGTATGCAAAGAGTCCAGTTTATCTATTTTTGATTTTGGTAGGTTGAGGCAAAGATTTTCACAGTATGTTAAAACGGGTACAATAGTCAACTGATAAATGCATTCTGCTGCAAAGGATGTTGGCAAATATCTAATTTTTTTAAGTAGTCAGTCTGTCACAAACTTTTTTATAAGCATTGTTAAAATAACTACTCATGCTTAGTGTCAGCTCTAGGTCAATACCAAGTTATTTATAGCTCAATGTGAAACATATTGAGTTGAAGTTGTAAGAAATGTTTATTGTGTTTGGTTGTCTTGAGAGAGATTTTCCTGTACCAAACAACGTGGACTCTGTTTAACCGACTCCAAGGTTGAGTTTAACTTGTTTTTATACACCATTTTGAGAGTTCTTCCATATCAAAAAGACATGACTCTATAATAAATATATATTTTCCAGGAATGTTAATGACTGTGTTGTCAGCATAAATAATAGATTTTGAATGTTTCAAACAAGATACCAGGTCATTGAAGTAAATAACAAAAAGTAAAGGGTCTAGTACTGATCCTTGAGGTACACCACATACAACTTTTCCTATTTCAGAAATTGTGTTTTGAAAACACAATTTCTTATATAGGAAAAGTTGTATGTGGTCTTTAAACCAGCAGAGTTCAGTATCACGAACACCATAACTGTTAAGCTTGTTGATTAGTATTCTGTGGCTTAAAGTGTCAAATGCTTTACTTAAGTCAAAAAATACTGCTCCAACTATTTTACCTTCGTCAACTTTTTATTTTATGTTATCTACAAACAGCATTGCAGCTAGTTTTGCTGTTTATGTTGAAAACCAAACTAATTGTCATTTATCAAACTGGTTTCCTCTAAATAATTTGATAATTTAAAGTGTACAACTTGTTTGATAATTTTTGATATAATCGGTATTACAGATATAGGTTGGTAGTTTTGAATGTTGTTGTGGGACTTTGATTTGTAAAATGGGAGAAGTCTCGAGCATTTCCAATCAGTTGAATATGTTGATATCTTCAAAGACATGTTTATAATGCAAGTAAGTGGTTTACAAGGCATTAGCTGCATCTTTCAGTATTGATGGTGATATACCGTCTAGGCCAGTAGACTTTTTTGTTTTTAACCCACGTATTTCTTTTTCTATTTGATCAGCTGTTACAAGTATAAATTTAAAATACCTGTAAATACAAGTTAGTTCCTGATGTGATAAAGCCCATACACAGTCTTTTAAAAAAAAGTATTTTTCTTTCAAATAGATACCTATAATTACAGAAATGTTCACAAAACGCATATGATATTTCTCAAAGATCAGAGATGAGTTAATAATAAATGTTGAACTAGTTAAAGATTTAGTTTTGGAAGGGTAAATATTCTTACTGTTATGCCAGAGATTTTCTGGTTCATTCACAGGTTCATGTAGTATTTTTTAATGGTAGTTCTGTTTTGATCATTTTCTAATAGCGTTAAATTCATTTCTCAAGTTTTTAAAAAGTCATTTCTCAATTGCTATTTTTGATTTACGAAATTTACGGAGTAGATTATCATATATATTTATCTGGTATTTTACTTCTCCTGTAAGCCATGAATATGATTTGCCTCAAATGTGTTTTTTTAATATTTGTGGCTAAAGTATCAAGACATTTTAAACTTATGTGTTTCATATTAGTCCATGAAGTGTTTACATTAGTTAAAAGTAGAACCGAAGACTACAAAGTAAACTACAGAACTCCTGTATTTATGTATTGTTCAAAATTTCTACACTTTATTATTTTTGGTTTGCATTTAGCATGATTCGGATCGGAAGTTGGGGTTTAGGTATTTCGAGCCATCCGGCGGGCAAAACAGGACACAGTATAATATACTCTTTGTGTTTGAAAGAATTATTTCAAAACAAATGCTCTCTATTTCGTTGGTTTGTAGATCGTAACGTCTCACCACATATGTAGACTGCAACATTTCCGCCAGATCCATTTTGACGTGCACTGTTTAGAAATGTATAGCCCTCAATATCATATAGTTCACTAGGGTTATTTTTGCTAATAATAAAATTTTTGGGTTTCAGTTAATTTCTAATATATTAATGTTTTTGTTGCTGTTAAAAAGATTGAATATTTAAATGAAAGAACTGCAAGCCTTTTGAATATCGTATGTTTTCAAATTTTTTCCGTTTCTGTGTTAGTTTGATTTAAATACATAGGCCTGTGGCATGTTTTAACGTCACCTGATAACAATAATAGAGTTTTCAGGAAAATGTTTTATTAATTGTTTCAAAATAACATATCCATTTCAAGTTTTGCAGTGACAGCAGTTTAAGATTTATTGTAGAGTAGGCTAGAAGTGTAATATAGATAATGTTGAACGTTTCAAGAAATTAGTATTAGATAATAGTGGTATTTAGAAGTCCGGTTTTAAATCAAAATGTTTTATACGAATTAGGCTGATGATGTAGATAGAGTAAATCTATGATATAACTCTTTACTTTGGTAAAAACTTTGTTTTGTTTTGTTTTTTTTTTAAATAATATTTAATAATTTGTAAAATTTTGGTTTTTAGAATTACTACTTCTTTTTATACATTATGTAAAAAGAAGTAGTTACTAACTTTTTAGAGTGTCTGTATTATAATGATATCTATATTTTAAAATTGTACGATTTTTATTGCATTATCTAGGAAAGGATGAGATAGTTACTGAAACCAATATTTAAGTGGGTGGGTTTTATATAAAACTTACAAAATCATTTTGTTGTATCACCAGGCCGGCTTTTAGGTACAACCATAAGTAATAGGTAGACAAAGTCTTTCGCCCCATTAGCTGGAACAGATTGCAAAAGGCCGCACTTTTTTACTCCTTCGTTGTATTAAAAAATAGCCACTACCTATAAAAGATTCTGGAGACGCAAATGTGATACAAAATACAAAATATTACAACATGAAGTCAGTTAATTTTAAACTGTTTTTAACGTTAACAAAATTTTTTGTATAATTTTAGGAGCTGATGATGCTGATAACCATATTTCAGCAAAAATTTCTAATAATAAACTATTATTTGTATTAAGAGAAGAAAGAGAGAGAGAATAATTTCTCAATCATTTTAATTGTTTATATTTTAACAGGAGACGTTGCTTCATCTTTGAAGTTTGCTGCAGAGGTTTCCGATTTCTGCTTTAATAAAGACGATCAGTTGCTTGAATTTTGGAATACAATGGTTAAAACATTTAACGAAGACACTATAAAGCCAGAGCATTACAACTGCAAATGTCATCCTAATACCTTTGCAAATTGAACTAACTTATCCAGCCAATTGAAAATCAGTTTAATATAACTTTTCTACTTCGTTGTTTAATAGACAATACTTTTTTTAATATGCTGCAAAAATTTATATGCGGATTTTTTTGTAAAAAAATTTTAAATTTTAAATTTATCTTATAAATTTAAAACACCATTATCACACAACTTAGTTTCCCAAAAATAAGGAAAAAAATATAGGCTGGGTGAATAAAAAAAAAGTAATTGCTTTAACTCAGCGTTTTTGGATTAATTGCTTAGCTTTACGTGAATAAAAATTTTAGCAAACTCGGTCAAATTTTTATTGACATTAAGCTAAGCAATTTACTCAAAAAAACTCCGAGTAATTGTTCAGCTTTACGTGAATAAAAGTTTAACTAAAACTTTTGAAGTTTTTATTCACGTAAAGCGGACCAATTACTAAGTAAAAGCAATTTCTTTTTCTTATTCACCCGGCGATATGACTGAAAATACTGTGATATTTTGACGGAAAGAAATTGTAAATCATTTTATTTTGTAGTCTAATGTTTATAATAATAATTTACAAAATTATAGTAAGATTATATATGAATTATTTCATGTAATTTTTCATTATTAATAGAGTTAATTATTAATTAATCAATATAATTCGATAAAAAATGTTACATTTTAGGTCATTTACAAATAGTTTAAAACAAATCTTAAATAAATGCCATGAAATAATATTAAGGTTAAAAGTAGTGATGATAATAATAATAATGATTTTATAATAAATAATTAAATTGACAACTATAACAATAATAAGATAATAATATAATTATAAAGCAATATTCAATTAATAATAATATATTTTAATAGCAATATTAATCTCAAAACAATAATTGAATATTCACTGACAGGAAAATTACAAACATATACTGATAAAAACCACTTCTGCAAAAAAAGTAATAATCATTCAATAAATATAATTAACTTGTAATCATCATATAATCATTGTAAAAGTAAACAATGTCTATAATTATATCATTAAAATATAACAATAAATTATATCATTAAAATATAACAATAAATAAAAAATGTCTATAATTGTATCATTAAAATATAACAATAAATAAACAGAAAATTTTTTTACAACGACACATACAAATAAAAACGTGTCACACATAGATATTTTGTCATAAAAGTATTACATGTTCATAATATATGAAAAATTTCAAATAATTAAGAAAATCGAATGATACGCCCCCTTAATTGTTTTCTCGGCGAATTTACATTGAAAACGGCGGCTACAGCAAAGTTGAAAAATGACGAAAAGAAGTGTTTTCTAAGAAGTAATTAATAATATAAATAAGATAACAAAAATGATTATATATACACACACAAACAAACAAACAGGAGTTGTTTCTAAAGGGCTATTAACATTTACCGTTTGTCCTAAAACAGGAAAGTAGATAATAAAAATGCCTGAACTTGATTTATTAAATTTATTATACTGTTTAATAAATTTAAAATAGTTACACATTAATATGACAAAATTAATTATTAATATGACAAAAGTAACACATATTAATATGACAAAAATTAAAAATTGCTTGTGGCAGCCCTGTCACTATACATAATAAAGGTAAATATTCTGTCCACATACAAGCACCAAGTCTTGTACTTTGACAGAATATTTACCAAAATCAGCTCAAAGCAAAAAAGTTATTGTATATGTTGCTGTATATATATATATATATATATATATATATATATATATATATATATATATATATATATATATATATATATATATGCTGTATGTATGTATGTATATATGCTGCTATATGTTGCAAAAAAGTTATTGTAATATGCTGCTAATCAAACATGTCGTAGGCCTTACAAACAGCATTTCAACAAAATTGAAAGTACAGTAGATACAAAATTTTTGAAAAAATCAAAAATTAGCATCATAATCGACAATCTGATTGCTGAGCTTGACCGCAAAAAAGTTAATTCAAAATTGGATTTATCCCTTAGATTTCTGACTAAATTACTTAAGTTACTTTAATCACGCTAAAACCAACGTATACCATACGTGAAAAAGTTATCAAATATTATCAAGATGTTCTAAGTACAATTATTTGTAGCAGTGTATTAATTAGTGTACTAATTGTACTAAAAAGATTGTTTTTGACTTTGGTTTTCGAATTGCATCAAAAAGCTTATGAATTTAATGTAGAACAAAGTCACTTTTCAACTTGTATAAACTGTTTTACTCATTTATCTGAACACTTCACAAAATTTAACAATTCAATATAGTATACAGGGCCACCGAGAGGGAGAGACAAAAGCGGAATTCGTGCCCCGGGCGCCAAGATTTTAGGGGCCTCAGTTTGAGATTTTTTAATTTTAGAAATACACTAAGCTTTCTCAAGCAAATTTACTCAAAGGTTCTAAATTTCGAAGAAGCTGTTTGTATATGCATACTAATTTGATTTTTTAACATGATGCCATAATCTGTCACAAAGAGTGAGCAACATTAAGAGGGTAGGAAATGGTGGGGGGAAGGCTATATGCAGTGTCCGCCCCAGTGTTTTAGTTAGGAAAGAGTTATCGCCCCTCCGCCTCCCCCTTCACCTGTTTATACTGGTAATATATATATATATATGTGTGTGTGTGTGTGTGTGTGTGTGTGTGTGTTTATATATATATATATATATATATATATATATATATATATATATATATATATATATATATATATATATATATATATATATATAAGAGGGCTATCGCCCCTCCGCCTCCCCCTTCACCTGTTTATATTGGTAATATATATATATATATATATATATATATATATATATATATATATATATATATATATATATATATATATATATATGTATATATTACCAGTGATTCCGCTATAATATTCAAAAAAAAAAAAAAAACCAAAAGCTGAGCTTTAAAATATCTTAAGTTAGCTTTAATGCTGAGAAAAACTTAATTTATAAACATTCAAAGGTTGAAAATATCATTAAAAATTTAAGGGTTAGATAATTTTAGGGTATTTTAGGTAAAGAGTTTGATTAGAGAAACTATTTGTAAGATATAAAAATTAGGTTTCAAAACAATCATTTTAAGGATATTATGGCTGCGCAAGTCATAATTTATTTTACATTGCTCTATCGTGCTACGACATATTTAGAATTATATGTTTGGTAGGTGTCATACTTTTTGAACACTCTGGTAGAATTGGGTATTTTTATCCGAAAACATGACTTTGTCTCAATCATCACTTGTCCATATGTTTTACTTATGAGAAAATGCAATACAATCTTTGATATGATTTGCTGATAATAATAATATTTTTGCAGGATGATATGATTTAAAACCATCAATAGATACTGAAAAAGAAAAATACAATGTTATATTCAGAGATCATAATTAGGGATGTACCGAAACTTCGGCTTCGGCTTCGGCTGAAGCCAGGGTCAGTTTTTGCCGAAGCATTGACTTCGGCAAGTTTTTTTAGGTAATTAAAGGTAATATGCTACTTTTATATTAAACATAAAATAATTTTATTGCTTAAAATATAATTACTAAAATTTTTCTACTTGTAATTTGCTCCTATACTTTGATTTCGGCGTACTGATTTTGACGTATGCCGCGGCATACGTCAAGAAATCAAAATAAAGGAGCAAATTACAAGTAGTAAAATTTCAGTAATTATATTGTAAGCAATAAAATTATTTTATGTTTAATATAAAAGTAGCATATTACCTTTAATTAACTAAAAAAACTTGCCGAAGCCAATGCTACGGCAAAAACTGACCCTGGCTTCGGTACATCCCTAATTATGATCTCTGTATATAACAGTGTATTTTTCTTTTTCAGTATCTATTGATGGTTTTAAATCATATAATCGCTGTTATATTTACTAAAATCTATTTTCACTTTAACTTCTATTTAGTTTTTTTGCGCTTGAAACGTACGCTACAAAAATTATTTCTAATCAACACTCAAAAACATGAATAGTTTATGGTTTTATTATTACAGAAACACATAACATGCAGAAAATCAATAGCAGCATGCTGCAATAATTGTATGCATACTTAAACACTTTGAAAGCGCTACGAAAGGTAAGAGCAGACAAATCAGAGATCACACCGTTTCTTGACTATACTAGGGACAAATCAACTGGAATCAAAACTCTTTTTAATGAACTTAAAACTAATTTTAAAAGTCGTTTTCATTAATACAAAGGTAATGTTCGTCTGAAAATTGCAATGATTCTCAAACCCCGTTTCAAATAAAAAATTTTAAAGAAACAGATCATAGAAATTTTAAGGAAGTTTTATATCAATAGTACTACCGCTTTCATTTAGAGTATCGATACTCTAAATGAAAGCAGTAGTATCCTTGATATAAAATTTGCTTGCTTGTTGTAAATGATCATTTACAACAAGAAAAAGAAGTTAATTTTTTCAAAGACTCGTGATGGTCCAATCAAAAAAGAAAGCATGGGCATTTACAGCTTCTTAGACTAAATGGGTATAAATGAAAATGCTTCACAGAAATGTGAAAACACTGATGGAGGAGGAAAAAAGTATAATAGTAAAAATTCTAGAGGAAAAACTCAAAATTTAAAAGAAAAATCGTACGAGTAAAAAATATCTAAATAAAATTGTAATTTTTTTTATTTATTACAAATTTAATTAAAAATTGATGTTAATTTTCAAATTAATTATTATGTTGCATTCCCTGTTAAAAGAAATTTATTTACAGGTTTTTTTTGCACACCAGAATTGTTGTAGACAAAATTATATTACATTTATATAAGGAAAGATTAATGCTAGCAGGCGCAAACTATATGCAGGCAGGCCGTGTCTTCTTGTAGTGACGGGTCTGTTTGCATTTAATATTTTTAATTTTCCATTCAAAACATAATTATTTATCAAATATTAATGTTTATTTATAAGTTGATTAATAGTATTCTTTTTTCATTACTTGATTAAAGATTTAAAATATTAGTTTAAACTTTAAATTGATTCATAGTTTTGATTCAACATGGACAACGTCAACTTTAACTTTAGCCTATCAACATTACCAAAAAATAAATGCCCTTATAAGTGGTGGGGTGTTTACAATTACACCTGCTTTGATAAAGACATTAAAAAGTTGGATTTGGTAAGGTTCTTAATAAAAATTTTGTGCGCACCTCCCAGCTAGCACAAAACGTTCAAAGAACGTTGCAAATGTTCAAGAACGTTCTATGAACGTTCATAGAACGTGCTTGAACTTTCACAACGTTCGTCGAACGTTCTTGAACGTTTTGTGTTAGCTAAACTCTTTTATCCGTTAGGAGTGATCCTCTGTTCAGCACAACAGGAAACATATTTTAAGCCAAAAGAAACAGTCTGTTGCCTGAGAATGGAGAACAGAATACGTTTTTAAACTATAGTTTGCCTGATTTCTTATGGATAATTAGTTTAAACGTAATTAACAAATAAGTATAAAAACAATTTCCCTCGTTTATTATTGTAATTTCTAAATGGTAATTTTATTATAATCCAAAGTACAAACTAATGTAAACTAAACATTGTT